ATATTCGTTTTAGAAAAAAAATATTATTAATAAATAATACTTTATAATACTTTATATTTTTGATGGTTTCAGTATACCTGATTATTAATTGTCACAATTCTACAAAATAATTTTGAAAATTATTTCAAAATATTATAATGAATTACAAATATCATAGTTTACCTTATGACAAATTCAGAGCGTTTGCACAATAGAGATTTCTACAGAATCTGCAATGATTTCCAAATTATTTTTTGCGACAGTAAAATATCCATTATCTAATTTTTTTTTCCACTGAGCCTTAGGTGTTACAAATGTGAATATTGACAAATCAATGCATTTTTAATTAATTAATGAATATGTTGAGGTAATATCAAAGTTGTAGTATCAAAGAGATGTCCATTACCCTCAGAATCTATTTCTGATCCAAAATGTCAAAAGTCAAACATCCGATCCTAGAAAAGGTCACGATTTTCAACAATAGTTTATCGTATGTAATTTACGTATATGAATTTATAAAAATTACATCTGATCAGTTTATATTGGTGGCATTACGTTGCCTTGATGTGTATGTTTATTGCATTGGGGTTTTTACCTTTTTACTGACATGTACGGTTCAGTGATTGCTATTTGCATTTGCATTTGCAGTTGTATTTGTTTTGTTTCTCAGTCTCGAAATTATGACGAACCTTATCCGTCTCACTCGATGGAAAAGATTATGCATGGACGTACGATTTCCATTTCTTAATATAACTAATATTACATAATAATATAATTCGTTATATTAATAATGTTATTTTTAACATCAATCAGAACTTAAGACTCCTATAATCTATTGGGTTGATTTGACTTAATACTAGTTTGTTTTGCAGATGGCAACCCAAACAGTTATCTCATCTCTGTGTGATGAATTATTAGTACAGTTTCTGTAATAGAGCCAATAGTTTTATTGATGCAACAATACCAAATGATTACTATTCTTACATGAAAACATACATAACAACATACATTGAAAACATACTTCTATATTTTCAAATGAAAACTGTTGTCACTACTGCTTGACAACAGACTGCTCGAAGCGGAATGCAACCCGGAATCTCTGGTTCAGGCCCAATCGTTTCTACGAGCAAATCCATAATTTTTTTTTATTATCTCTTTTATTTGCAAATGTCCTGTACAGAACATTCAGTAAATTTGATGAATTTACAATAGTCGGCCGAAAAGGGACATTGTATACTACAAGGGCATATTGGAAAAAACAACTCAGTAGTTGTTTTTCTATTCGATATAAAATTCACAATATTTTATTGATAATTATATAATTTTAACTATATACTTATCAAATAATTTCTTATGAATAATGATTAAGTTATTTCCATTTTTTATCAGGAGAGTTGATGGCTTAAATCCAGTGGCGCTTTTCTTTTCAATCTTCTTGGATAATTCTCTGTTTCAAGGGGTTTGCTAATGAATTTGGGTGACTGATTAACTTGTTTCTATACTTGTGTGCTGTTTTTTGTTATTACTACTTCATTTATGGTAGGTGTATTCGTGTCGACATGAATCAACCAGCTGGGAACATATTTTAGAGCTCCTAAGGCAATTTTCAAAAATTTGTTTTGAAATTTCTGTATTATTTCTATATTGGTCTTATGAGCACTACCCCACAATTGTATACCATAGCACCAAATTGGTATAAATTATTATTATAATACTGGTGGTGCATGGCAAATTTGCTGGAAGTTTCCGTACCAAAAATTAAATTAAAACAAAAATTCCTTCTTTTTAGAACTTCGAAAAAATATTTTTGAGAATTTTGGAATTTTTTATTTGTTTTTTTTTTCAATATTGAATTTTTTTTCATACTTTGAAATATTTTGAAAAAAACTGAACTGTTCTGAACTGAACTGAAAGTAATCGCGATACGTTAACTACGTAGAGAAACGAAATATCGAAGCGCGTGAGTAATGTCTGATAAATTGATTTTCTTATGTCTATTTTTTTTCACTTGTTTATTGGATCTCTGAAACCGCTATGCCTGCCTGTTGTTGTTCATTTCGTCAATACAAATAGAATGTTTTTCGAATTATCCAAATTGGACACTCCGTTCTCTCAAAAAATCAGTTACCATTTTTGGCACTTTTGTCCCGTATCTCCAACTAAACTAATCAGCACATCTCCTTATCAATACGAATTGAATGTTTTTTTAAACTATTCAAATCGGTTGACCAGTGTTCTTGAAATTGTCGACGAAAATTTGTATCCGCACACACACACACATACATCCATTTTTTCTAAGGTATGCCAAATTATTCATAAACCTTTGAAACGTGAAGATATATAAAAAATATTTTCGATTTTTTTGCGATTGCTATAACTTACCCTACGGGAAGTTACAAGTGTATGATCAGGTGTAAATGATAATCGGCAAGACATTCAATTTCATTAATAATACAGGGTGTCCCAAAACTCAACATTGAACCGAAAGGAGGTGATAGTACTGATCGTAACTATAATGAAAAAATAGAATTAAAATTATAAAAAAAATTATTATTAATTATTAAAACAGCAGTCTCTCCTTCTCTCAGAGTGATTCCGCTCCCAGCATATAAAGTTGTCCACATTCAATTTCTACTATGTTTTGTACAATTTATATATACAGAAACTAGATCAAATCACTTACTTATTTTGTTCAGAATTTTTTTTTGACGATTTTAATGATAACTTGTACAGCGATAAAGTTTCTGAGGTTGATGAACATGTAGTTTGAAAATTGTGAGCTTTTAAGTGCAACCTAGAGCTTTGGTGAAACTGTGACAATTTTTCGGTTATTGTGGATAATTTTTATTAATTTTGTTTATTTAAATTTCAGAATAATATAAACTTGGATTACAATCAAAAACAATGACTCAATTTCTCCAAGTTTTCAAATATTAAAAGTTTTTGTCAAACTATGAATATAAACTTTTTTAAAATTTCTCTGTACTTTGAGAGTCCCTTCTTTAAAAAAAATTAGTAGTGTGTTGGCAAGTTCAATCAAAAATTGGTGCAATTGATGCAGCAATACTTGATAGTTTCATAATGAAAAAAATCGAGTAAAACTATAAAAACCGAAAAATAACATGATTTTTGCTAATCCATTGTACTCATTATCAGTTCATATGTTTCTTTCTTCACATTGGAGCTTAAGCGCACAACAAACGTTTCAACTGATTGAGAGAAATGGATTTGCAAAAGTCATGTTATTTTTAGATTTTTTATTTTTTTATTTATTTTTTATATTAGTAACCTATCAATTATTCCAATACTCAATTTCAATACTATTCCAGTAATTTGAATTAACTGATAAATGATGACAATGATGAAAAGTGATGAAAAGTTTTTATGATATCACAAAATGTGGTTATTATTGTGCATAATTATAATATATTAAATTGGATAAAATTGTTTGTCACATTTTTTATGTAATGACATGTTATGAAGTTGAATGTAATGTTATATATAATATGTAATTTAAATATTCCGCCATTATTATTAGTGATGTTGTTAATAGTGTTTTTCTCCCACTATCTCCATATATCCGCCATTTTTCTGTTTATGTAAAAATATGTACAACTAGCTGTAAGTGGAATTCTGTCTTAAGGCAATTAAGGCATCGTGCCTTAAGGCAAATTGCTGGAACTTCCCGTACCAAAAATTATTATTTTTTTAAAAACGATTGACATTTTTAAAACAAATTTACTTCGAAAAAATAAGATTTTTGAGAAACTATAAATTAAACAAAAAATTACTTTTCTTTGAAAAAAAAATTTTTTAAAAAAAAAATCGAATTTTTTTTTTTTTTTTTTAATTTTTTGGAAAAAATAATGTTTTCTTCTTTATTTTGGCATATTTTGGAAGATCTTTTTTCAAAGCAATCGTACTGCTTTAACTGCATAGAGACAAAATGTTAAAGCGCGTAAGCGGCGCGTCGCCGTCTAACGAATAAATATTGGTACGGAACCCATAGGAATGCAAACAAAATTTATACTTATTGTTAAAATCTCTATAAAATATCTGACGATTTGATGTGCATATGTCTAATGATCATTTTTGACCGCCAAATGGCATTATTTTTTACTTTTTTCGTTAGATCTCCGAAACCGCTAGACCTGCCCTCATGAAAATTTGATCAATTCTTCATCTTGTCAATACAAGTCAAATGTTTTTTGAATTATTAAAATCGGACGCTCCGTTTTCTTAAAAACTGAGTGACCGTTTTCGGCACTTTTTGCCCCGTATCTTTGGAACGGCTGGACCTGCCTTCGCCAAAAACTAATCAGCACGTCTCCTTATCAATACGAATCGAATGTTTTTTGAATTATTCAAATCGGTTAATCCGTGTTCCCGAAATCGTCGACGAAAATTTGTATCCGCACATACATACACACACGTACATACATACATACATACACACACACACACATACATACACACACACACTCACACACACATACATCCATTTTTTCTAAGGTATGCCAAAATGTTAAGAAATCTCTGAAACGTAAAGATATATAAAAATTTTCATTTTCGATTTTTTTGCGATTACAATAACTTACCCTACGGGAAGTTAATAAATTCTCTTGCCTGCAGATCGCAAAACAAGCAACATTAAAATAAATTTAGTATATTTGAAGGAAGCATTTTTTTCTGACAATAAATATAAAAATAATATACAACGTGTGTAGTATCCGATTTCGTGATAAAGAATAGTGCTCGAATTTAATTACAAACTTCACCTCATTCCACTTATACTCTAATAAGCAAAATTATATCACTGCACCTCTATTTAAGCGCATGATGCAACAGCCCCCTTGACTGCGCCCCCTCACGGTGTGCGATGTCCGAATCCGCAGGTTTTGCAAGGAAATCATTTCGTTTCACGGATGGAATGAGCTGGGTAGAGGTTAGAGGATGCGAAGTGAATATGTTGGGGGCGACACCAAGCGCTCTCGGGTCCTCGATTGGTCTGCAAATAGATTTCAGCTGCCGTCAGCTGCTGACGGACTCGAAATATCCGCGCACAATGAGAATCTCAAACTCTAGGATCGAGATGAGACATATGACATTTTGATAATAATTGTCGCAATCATAAATAATTACTTGTGGGGCGCATGGCATCGTGCCTTAAGGCAAATTGCTGAAACTTCCCGCATCAAAAATTATTTTTTTTAAATAGATTAACATTTTTGAAAAAAATTTACTCTGAAAAAATGAGATTTTTGGGAAACTATAAATTTTTGACAAAAATATACTTTTTTTGAAAAAAAAGACTTTTTGG